TATTTATTTCCTCATATCATGATAAATGTTTATTATTCATGCTAGAATTGTATTAACCGGAAACATGATACATGTGTGAATACATAGACAAACACAACGTCACTAGTATGCCTCTACTTGACTAGCTTATTAATCAAAGATGGTTATGTTTCCTAACCATAGACATGTGTTGTCATTTGATTAATGAGATCACATCATTAGGAGAATGATGTGATTGACATGACCCATTCCCTTAGCCTAGCACTTGATCGTTTAGTATATTGCTATTGCTTTCTTCATGACTTATACATGTTCCTGTAACTATGAGATTATGCAACTCCCATTTGCCGGAGGAACACTTTGGGTGCTACCAAACGTCACAACGTAACTCGGTGATTATAAAGGAGTAATACAGGTGTCTCCAAAGATACATGTTGAGTTGGCGTATTTCGAGATTAGGTTTTGTCACTCCGATTGTCGGAGAGGTATCTCTGGGCCCTCTCGGTAATGCACATCACTATAAGCCTTGCAAGCAATGTGACCAATGAGTTGGTTACGGGATGATGCATTACGTAACGAGTAAAGAGACTTGCCGGTAACGAGATTGAACTAGGTATTGGATACCGACGATCGAATCTCGGGCAAGTAACATACCGATGACAGAGGGAACAACGTATGTTGTTATGCGGTTTGACCGATAAAGATCTTCGTAGAATATGTAGGAACCAATATGGGCATCCAGGTTCCGCTATTGGTTATTGACTGAGAATAGTTCTAGGTCATGTCTACATAGTTCTCGAACTCGTAGGGTCCGCACGCTTAACGTTACGATGACAGTTTTATTATGAGTTTATAAGTTTTGATGTTCTGAAGTTTGTTCGGAGTCCCGGATGTGATCACGGGCATTACGAGGAGTCTCGAAATGGTCGAGACATAAAGATCGATATATTGGACGGCTATATTCGGACACCGGAAGTGTTCCGGGTGATTTCGGAGAAAACCGAAGTGCCGGAGGGTTACTAGAACCACCCGGGAGAAGTAATGGGCCTCATGGGCCTTAGTGGAGAGAGAGAGGGGCGGCCAGGGTGGGCCGTGCGCCCCCTCCCCTCCGGTCCGAATTGGACTAGGAGGGGGCCCCCCCCTTTCCTTCTCCCTCTCCCCCTTCCTTTCCCCCTCCTAGTAGGAGTAGGAAAGGGGGAGTCCTACTCCTACTAGGAGGAGGACTCCTCCTCCTGGCGCGCCCTCTAGGGCCGGCTGGCCTCCCCCCTTGCTCCTTTATATACGGGGGCAGGGGGGCACCCTAGGACATACAAGTTGATCTACGGATCGTTCCTTAGCCGTCACTACAAGAAATATGTCAACTTATGACCTTCTCTTAGTGACCCCAGCTGAATTGGTCGTAAATTCACGGCCATTTCGCTTGGAAGGGCTCAAACCCTGAAATTGCTTACACCAAATGGTCATAAAGTAGACAAGAGGCGCCAATGGCCTTATTTCTACCTGATTATGACCAATATAAATAGTCATGAGGTTGTAAACGTGGATGCATTGGTACTTATTGCTATGACTAGGCGCCACCTCATTAGTTTTGCCTATGTGGCATGTCCATGTGGCAGTTTTTGCCCTAGGTTGTGAAGCAACCTATATTTCTGTCATTCCCAAAATTCCCAAAAAAATCTCATAAATTCTTTGGGTCATATCTTCGTAAAATATGTAAAAACCTTCCTTGCCTAGTTCAAAAATAATTCAAAAATATTCATTTTCCTATTCTGTTCAGAGTAACAGTTAGTGAAGGAAGTACCACTTTGGCATGTCCAAATAGTATCCATTTTCTACAGTGCTTTCCTATGCCCAAATAACCATCCTCCACCAAATGCCAGCTCAATCCATTCATTATTTTGAGCCGAGCTTCAACATTCGTATTTATGTCCAGTGTGGTGGTTTGCAAAGCAAGTACCAGCTAGGCTCCTCCTTTTGAGCTGAAAATTTGTGAAGACGATCTTCTTAGTAACTGATCACCCTCAGCCAAAACTCACGCCCATTAGCCATGTAAATTTCCCGTACCGCTAATCAAACACTTGGCTGCTAATTCATGTTTGAGCACCGATCGGTCTCCTCGTGAGAATCTTATGTTGTAATTTTCTTCCTAGCACCTACATGGGGAGTGCCCAACCCACTAGACATGTCTAGGCCACCCAGAACACAGGGAAACGCCACGGTCACGCGGTGACCACGCGGCGGGCATGCGAGCTTACGCGCTCTAGAGTTCGGGCCCTCGGCCACCGTCTAAACCTCGATGTCTCTCCATCAAACCATGTATTTCTGATTCAATAGATACTTATTTACCTACAAATGATTTTTGAAAAAAATAAAGAGCAAACTATGAGGCAGCTGCAGTTCAAATTTGCCCCGCTTCCAGCTGAATCGGCGGAAATTTGTCTTTTTCACGAGCGGTGGATCAAAACAATTTACACCCAACCATTTTGTCAATTGTGCATTAAATATGACCTAGTATTTTATAAAAATGATCTGGTCTAATTTTCCTACAATTATTTGGTAGTTCCTTCACAAAAAAACCTCCTTTCGGGCACTCGAAAAATGGAAAATGGTTTTTTCGTCCAACGAAAATGAAATTTCCTTAGGCAACATTGTTTGCCATTCCAATATGCACCCTTGTGCACAATATGAGACCATTTGAACAAACTATACCATGAATGTGGCCATAAGATTGATCATTTGGCTTGAAAGCCATTGATCTCCACACATGATAGCTCGTTTCTGAGAACACTTTTTTTAAATAATTCCTGTATTACAAGTTTGTTATTTTTCCTAGGAACTTGGTCACATATGATGACACAATGCGAATGTTTCCCAATTTTTTGATTTTTTTTTTGAAATTTTTATGCCCGTTTCAAAATGCGATCAAAACGGCGGGAATGACCGTTCCTAGCTAGTGGTTGAATCTTGGAATTTTTTTGGTGTTTCTCTGATTAAATAGGTCCTTATGTAACTAGAAATGATTTTTGGAAAAAATAAATAGCAAACTATGAGGCAGCTACAGTTCAAATTTGACCCGCTTCCAACTGAATCGGCGGAAATTTGTCTTTTTCACGAGAGGTGGATCAAAATTTTTTACACCCAACCATTTTGTCAATTGTGCATTAAATATGGCCTAGTATTTTATAAAAATGATCTGGTCCAATTTTCCAACAATTATTTGGTAGTTCCTTCACAAAAAAACCTCCTTTCGGGCACTCGAAAAATGGAAAATGGTTTTTTCGTCCAACGAAAATGAAAACTTCCTTAGGCAACATTGTTTGCCATTCCAATATGCACCCTTGTGCACAATATGAGACCATTTGAACAAACTATGCCATGAATGTGGCCATAAGATTGATCATTTGGCTTGAAAGCCATTGTTCTCCACACATGATAGCTCGTTTCTGAGAACACTTTTTTAAAATAATTGCCGTATTACAAGTTTGTTATTTTTTCTAGGAACTTGGCCACATATGATGACACAATGCGAAGGTTTCCCAATTTTTTGATTTTTTTCTGAAATTTTTATGCCCGTTTCAAAATGCGGTCAAAACGGCAGGAATGACCGTTCCTAGCTAGTGGTTGAATCTTGGAATTTTTTTGGTGTTTCTCTGATTAATAGGTCCTTATGTAACTAGAAATGATTTTTGGAAAAAATAAATAGCAAACTATGAGGCAGCTGCAGTTCAAATTTGACCCGCTTCCAGCTGAATCGGCGGAAATTTGTCTTTTTCACGAGAGGTGGATCAAAACTTTTTACACCCAACCATTTTGTCAATTGTGCATTAAATATGGCCTAGTATTTTATAAAAATGATCTGGTCCAATTTTCCAACAATTATTTGGTAGTTCCTTCACAAAAAAACCTCCTTTCGGGCACTCGAAAAATGGAAAATGGTTTTTTCGTCCAACGAAAATGAAAACTTTCTTAGGCAACATTGTTTGCCATTCCAATATGCACCATTGTGCATAATATGAGACCATTTGAACAAACTATGCCATGAATGTGGCCATAAGATTGATCATTTGGCTTGAAAGCCATTAATCTCCACACATGATAGCTCGTTTCTGAGAACACTTTCTTAAAATAATTGCCGTATTACAAGTTTGTTATTTTTTCTAGGAACTTGGCCACATATGATGACACAATGCGAAGGTTTCCCAATTTTTTGATTTTTTTGAATTTTTTATGCCCGTTTCAAAATGCGGTCAAAACGGTGGGAATGACCGTTCCTAGCTAGTGGTTGAATCTTGAAATTTTTTTGGTGTTTCTCTGATTAAATAGATACTTACGTACCTAGAAATGATTTTTGGAAAAAATAAATAGCAAACTACAAGGCAGCTGCAGTTCAAATTTGACCCGCTTCCAGCTGAATCGGCGGAAATTTGTCTTTTTCACGAGAGGTGGATCAAAACTTTTTACACCCAACCATTTTGTCAATTGTGCATTAAATATGTCCTAGTATTTTAGAAAAATGATTTGGTCCAATTTTGCAACAATTATTTGGGAGGTCCTTCACAAAAAAACCTCCTTTTAGGCACTAAAAAATGATTAAATATAGCTAGAAAGATCAGAAAAGCATACTAATTGGTGCTCATCCATAAAATGTGGTATAAATCCAGTGAAAATTTGTGTGGTGCCATTTTGTAAAATATTTTTGATAGCTGCTTCACAAAATCACTCTATTTTTAGCACTTGGAAACTATTTTAAATCACAGACTTTTCGAACCAATCAGGACTGTTCTCATGGATCACCCCCTTAGCCAATCTGGACCGTCCACACTTGGCGAATCCAACGTCTCTCACTTGGTCTCAGCAGCCCAAACAAAACCCTAGCAACCCCCGGCCGCCTCTCTCTCCCCCTCTCCCCGAGAACACACCTGCCGCCGCCTCTCTCTTCCCGATCCAGAATCCAGATCAACGACGACGTCCCTCCGTCGCCGCCTCTCTCTCCCTCTCTCCCCGATCCAGAATCCAGATCGATGACGACGTCCCTCCGTCGCCAGCCCCTCTTTCCCCATCCAAGTCGCAGCGCTCACCATCCCTCCCCCACCCTGCCAAACTTCCTCCTCCTCCTCTCCCGATCAATTGCCCCCAAGCCCCAGCCTCGCCGCCGACCAACTCCTCTCCCCCAACCCCGCCGTCGCCGTCCTCCTCTTCTCCAACCCCGGGCTCTCTCGCATCGGCGCACCGCTGCCGCCTCCACCCTCTCCCCTTCCCAAGCTGCTCAAGCGGCGCCCAGATCCGCCACCGCCGTCCTCTACAACCACGCCCACGCAGCGGCAGATGAAGGAGGAGTTAGGGGCGGAGCGGCGGGGCCCTTCCTCCGCCTCCGCGGTCCATGGCTTCTACGTGCCATTCCTCCGCCTCTACCTCGCCGGCTCTCGCAGCCTCGGTCGCCGTCGCGTTCGCCACTGACCAGAGGAACGACACCTGCGGTGCCGGGGGACCCTTCTTCACTGCGCCGGCGCAGGACTTCCATGCCTCGGCCTGCCTGGAGGACCTCCGCCCCGGTGACCTCTTCGAGATCCAGTGGCGGAAGAACAAGGATTTCCCCTACGGTATGTATGCATTCTTGCTCTTGTTAATGGCTGCGTCATTGCGAAATTCCATCGGTGTAGAGTTCGGCACTTGGTAACGGATGATTTCTTGTGATGGATCACAGACTGGTGGTACAGCGTCGTGGGTCACCTGGAGCCGTGCAACGCGAACGAGCATCTCTGCCGCTGCCATGAAGACGGTAATTCATCCTCTAGTTGCATGTTTTTTGAGCCTCAGGGAAGATAAGAAGCATGTGAAATATATTCAGGAACATGTCGAGGGCATGAAAGATTCGTTATCCCATAGGATCATCGTCAACTTTCATGAAACGTCGTGGCTACAGTCTGATCATTGCCCTCTCTCTCCCGTGATCTTGTGCTATTCGTCCTATCCAGTATCCACAGTCTAGAGTGTGTTAATATATAGCATCTCGTCCGTTCTTATCCATATCTATAGCATTTTCCACTTTCGTCATTGTGTGTGTGTGTGTTCTTATCTGAATTTTTTTGGGTGTGTGTGCTCTGTCAGATACAATCATGCTGGAGTTCAAGCACTACGCGGCTGGGTCGAGGTGGAGGCAAACCACGGTGAGCAGGAAAGACCACCGGGAGAAAGGGGACGAGACGGACGGCTTCTACGGCGGCATCAGGAAGCTGCAGACCAAAGATGAGATCTCCACGTGGCGGCGATTCTGGCCGGTTGATGTGCTCAGCTGAACATTGAGATATCTGTCGCTCCGTTGTACAGCTGATTACCTACCAGTGGTCGCCGAGCTGCGACGTTCCTCTGAAGAATGCACCCACCTGGTGCTGCTGCTGACCCCTCCACCCTTCTGAATGTTTTTGGTACTACTGGAAAATTCAAATGGGTGCGTGGGATTCCAAAGTTCCAGCAGCAGAGAAGCAACGATAGGCTTTTTATGTGAACGATGTTGTACATCTTTACCAAGTCTTCAGTTTGCACCGTGCTGCTGCCGCATCCTAGACTTGTAGATACCTGCCGCTTTATGATCTATGATAAATTCACTTGTGTAAGAATAAGGCAGCATTTAAGCAACGGGTAGCAGTATCAACAAAACTGAGTATTCTGTTCATTTTCGTGTGTGCTTGACTGCTTGTCTATTGGTATAGGTGAGGAAGAACCGGCTGACGACGGGCAAGGGCATGGGGTACCTGGAGGCCAAGCACCACCTGCTGCTGAGCTACTGCCAGGGCCTCGTCTACTACCTGCTACGCAAGGCCAAGGGGCTGTCTGTCGATGGCCACCCTGTTGCGCGCAGCCTTGTCGAGATCAGGCTGTTTCTTGAGAAGGTGTGTGCGCGTGCCCTCAGGTGTTGTTGATTGCTAAGTTACCAGTCTCCATTTTTGCAGCTGTCTAATAGTAAATTGTCTTTTGAATTCTCTGTGCTAGATTCGCCCAATAGACAAGAAGATGGAGTACCAGATCCAGAAGCTCACCAATGCCGCAGATGGTGCGGTAGCCCAGGATAAGGCGCCAGGCGCCAAGGTCAATGGGAAGGGCGGGCAACAAGGCGAGGGCGACCTATTGGGGTACCGGCCAAACCTGGATATGATGGATATCAAAATTGCTCCTAAAGGACACGTGAAAATCCCACTTACTAACTGATGTTTTCTCTTATATGTGTTAAGGCGATAATGTTCCGACTGTTTATCACTCTCTTCACACAAACACACACACTAATCAGTTACCATCAAAATTTGTGCATTGAATTTACTAGCTTTTTAGTCCAAACACTAACCAATAAATCTTATATATATATTTGTATGACATCAAATCTACCCATCCTTACTGAGGTGTGCTCTGTAATATAGTTGTCAATTGGATGAGAAATCAATATTGCTAGTGCAGTGTCTTGTAGAATCTAATTAAGTTGGCTACCTAACAACTTCTGTTGAATTAGAGATTATTACTCCATAGCTTGGTTTATATGCCTGGTTTCAAGTGAACTTATCATAGCTTATATTGCTGCTTTTGTAGATACTGCTACCCGTTGCTTAAATGCTGCCTTAACTTGTTAGCCCGTGGACGCACGCTGGCAGCATGAGCCGGCAGCCATGATTGTCAGCCAGCCACCACCATGTAAATGTAATAAATATGTGTCCTATCTAGTGTGCTGCTGTTAGAAATATAGATGTGTGGCCTATCTAGTGTGCTGCTGATAATCTATTTTTACCTCACTTGGCAGGCACCATAATCTGTTTTTACCTCACTGTACTGTAGGAATAAATGTGTGGCCTATCTAGTGTGCTGCTGATAGAAATATAGATGGAAGATTAGTTGACTAGTTATTCAATCTATAATCCTTCATATATACTGCCGTTGTCTATGCGTGCTGCTGCTTCATACATGTTTAATCAAATCTATCAAGTAGCTGTTTTCATGTCATGCTTGTTGTATTAACAGCCAATTTAGTTGCGTATTGCCAGTTCAAGTTTTTTAGTACATACCATGTTCTATTTTGCTATTGAACACCTTCCAACTTATATGCTGAATTGCCTTGTACACATAATTGTTTGCTTTCTATGGGAAAGCCGTTAATAGTCAGCTGACCTCATGAACTGTAAAAATATATCAAAATCTTGTGTTGTTAAAGTGAGCTTATTGTCAATTCTTGCTTATAAGCTATGTTTGATGCTATCTACAGGTTCTTATTCTTCTTCTTTTTTTTTGCATAGGTGAAGTATGAAGTGTGAAGCCATGAAGCCTATCAGCAAGAGTAGCATATTATGTACTGTAATATCAGGAGTGTAATATTAGTCAGAGTTGCATATTATGTATTGTAACATTTAGTGTTTTTTTGGATGAATTTCATTTGCTCTAAGTCTGTTTGAAATATTGACTGTGTATATAATTTCAATACCTATGAAATGGAAACCTGACCAGGGGGACCCACTTATGAAAATTGTTTGACAAATTTTGAAAATTTTGACATGTCGGTCCAATTGCGATATCAACATGACAAGTGGGACAAATCTGACTAGTGGGACCGGCACAAAAATAATATGGCTGAAAATATAAAATTAATAGTAATGGACCAAAAATTAAAAAGGCCGAATAGTTGGGCCTGGCCCATGTAGCTAGCGAAAATTAACTGAAAAAACATAAAATGGGCTGAATTAATGGGCTTGGCCCATGTAAAACCCCCAATTGGACCGGGCTGATTTTAACCAACGACCTTTTCAATTCGTCGCAATTTTGCCACGTTAGATTCCACGTCGGATCCGACATGGCCTGGGGAGAGAGGTAGCGACCAAAACAGAAGGTCATAGGATCAACGACCTTTTGTTAAAGGTCGCTATAGTCAGTTTACGACCGCCAGCTTTTGACCTTCTGATTTTGGTCACAGAAAGGTCGTAAATGGAAATTTGTGACCTTTCAGTGACCAATAGTGGTGGTCACAAGTTGACATATTTCTTGTAGTGCGTGTGCGGTGCCCCCCTCCACCATATTCCACCTCGGTCATATCGTCGCGGAGTTTAGGCGAAGCCCTGCGCCGGTAGAACATCATCATCGTCACCACGCCGTCATGCTGACAGAACTCATCCCCGAAGCTTTGCTGGATCGGAGCCCGGGGATCGTCATCGAGCTGAACGTGTGCTGAACTCGGAGGTGTCGTACGTTCGGTGCTTGGATCGGTCGGATTGTGAAGACGTACGACTACATCAACGGCGTTGTCATAACGCTTCCGCTTACGGTCTACGAGGGTACGTAGACATCACTCTTCCCTCTCGTTGCTATGCCATCACCATGATCTTGCGTGTGCGTAGGAATTTTTTTGAAATGACTACGTTCCCCAACACTATCTTGAGAGAAGCCACTAGTGAAACCTATGGCCCCCGGGTCTATCTCTTATCATATTTGCTTCCAATCTACTTTTATTTGCATCTTTGCTTTTTTGCATCTATATTTGTTTGTTTGTGTAGGTGTGTGGGACTTTTGAGGATCCTCCTACTGGATTGATACCTTGGTTCTCAAAAACTGAGGGAAATACTTACGCTACTATTGCTGCATCACCCTTTCCTCTTCAAGGAAAACCAACGCAAGCTCAAGATGTAGCAAGAAGGATTTCTGGCGCCGTTGACGGGGAGGTCTTCGCTCAAGTCAAGACATACCAAGTACCCATCACAAACTCATCTCCCTCGCATTTACATTATTTGCCATTTGCCTCTCGTTTTCCTCTCCCCCACTTCACCCTTGTCGTTTTATTCGCCTTCCCTTTCCCAATCTCCTCCTCTCTTTTTCGCTTGTCTTTTTCTATTTGCTTGTGTGTTGGATTACTAGTTGCCATGGCGCAAGGTAATACCAAATTGTGTGATTTCTCGAATACCAATAATAATGATTTCCTTAGTACTCCGATTGCTCCTCTTAATGATGTTGAGTCTTGTGAAATCAATACTGCTTTGCTGAATCTTGTTATGAAAGATCAATTCGCCGGCCTTCCTAGCGAAGATGCCGCTACTCATCTAAACAAATTTGTTGATTTGTGTGATATGTAAAAGAAGAATGATACGGATAACGATATTGTTAAATTGAAGTTATATCCGTTTTCACTTAGAGATCGTGCTAAAGTTTGGTTTTCGTCTTTGCCTAAAAATAGTATTGATTCTTGGAACAAGTGCAACGATGCTTTTATCTCTAAGTATTTTCCTCCCGCTAAGATTATCACACTTAGGAACGATATTATGAATTTCAAACAACTTGATCATGAGCATGTTGCCCAATCTTGGGAAAAAATGAAATTGATGCTTTGCAATTGCCCTACTCATGGTTTGAATTTATGTTTGATCATACAAAATTTTTATGCCGGTTTGAACTTTGCTTCTAGAAATCTCTTAGATTCGGCCGCGGGAGGCACGTTTATGGAAATCACGTTAGGAGATGCTACAAAACTTCTTGATAATATTATGGCTAATTATTCTCAATGGCACACCGAAAGTTCTTCTAGTAAAAAAGTGCATGCTATAGAAGAAATCAATGTTTTGAGTGGAAAGATGGATGAACTTATGAAATTGTTTGCTACTAAAAATACTCCTCTTGATCCCAATGATATGCCTTTATCTTCTTTGATTGAGAATAATAATGAATCTATGGATGTGAATTTTGTTGGTAGGAATAGTTTTGGAAACAATGCTTATAGAGGAAACTTTAATGCTAGACCGTCGGACTCGGACCGCCCTTCATGGGCTAAACATACTGGGCCGGGAACTCTGTTTGCCATTCTCTTCCATTTGTACAGCCTAGCCTCATTAGTAAGCCCATCGCGAGTGAAAAATGGTTGTCACCGAGTCTCCTCTCGCTGGAGAGTGGCAAAAAAATAGAGGCGCGCTTGTCCTCCTCGCCGTCGACGGCGATGGCTTGGACACCCAAACAACTAACTAATAGGACGCTCGGCCACCCTCGCGATGGCGAAGATTTCCGTGCAAAGCACCACGACTCTTGGCCGGAGCTCGCTGAGGCGCCACAGCCCCCCTCAATACCGGATCTGAGTCCACGAGGTACATACATCTCGTCCGACAGCAATTTCCAATATGTTCGATGCCGCTAGTTAATCAATTTTGTGGCCGATTCATTTATTTTCTGCCAATTTCTGTAATGGGAAGGATGATGCGGATGTGGCAGAGCTCAAAGGGCTACACGCTAGGAGGATGTGAAGCTTCGTGTTTGATCTTTCTTGCCGTGAGGATTTTACAGAGCGCATACAACCACTTAACACCAAAAGGCTGAAACAGAACAATCCCACACCAGTTTCAGAGTTGCAACCCAAACTGTGTTTTACAGTTTGACCAGGAATGCTACCAGTCTCGGAACTCAAATCCAGAACACAAGAAGCTGTCATAACAATCACAATGATACCAAGATCAAAATTTCTGAATCAAGCTGTGTTTGTTTCTTTTTGGTATTATTATTAGAGTAGTCAAGTAGAGCAACTTCCTGTTACGACCAATTAACAAGATGCACCAAGTCAGCATAATTCAGACAAAATGGTCATCTTTTCCCAGTAAGAAATGTCACAAAACTAGAGCTTCTTTTTTTATCTGGGAAGGGTGATGAAGGAGGGAGGATAGATAAATAGGCTAGGGATCCATGGGCATCACGTCAACCAAGAACGGGCCAAACCTGGAGCAGGGAATAAGGAGGAGTGATGAGACTGCTACGGAGACAATGGCTATGGTTGTAGGGGATCCTCAAATGGATATCAGAGCTACAAGATGCAGAAAAGGCGGATGCAAGAAATGTTGTGGCATTAGTGTCACTAACAGGGAAGCAGGATAGATTATTGACCTTAATCTGAGAGGATCAGTGCATCTCTCTTCTAATTGATAGTATCAACTAATATTAGGAATTGAGCAATTATTGCATCACAATCCTGGTAGCAATATTACATAAACATGACAATGCACGAGTCATGATAGATGATAAAACAAAAGTGTGAGAAGATAGGGTGACATCTTACAACTTATAGCTCCCTCCAGTAATAGCATAACTGTACTGACAGTGAGTCTTGTGTCTTCGGACCATTTTCACACAATCCGGAACCATTTGCCGATTTTACCCCATTTCAACAGAATACCTGCCGCGAATCCAACGCCAAAGCCCACCCAGTAAAGAGAAACAAAATGACATCAACATGATCTTTGGATATGCTTACTTGTGCCTCATTTGGGTTACTTGAATTACCACATGGTTTGGACAAAGGTGGTCCACAGAGCCCTGCATTCCCTTCATATGAAGTGTACTCAAATGTTGCAAACTGACTTGACTGTGGTATCCTTCCATCCAGCCTATTTCCAGACAAGTTCAGGGTGCTAAGAAATGTTAAATTTGTTAGCTCTTGTGGAATCTCCCCAGAAAGCTTGTTCCATGATAGGTCTAGCGATTCCAGTTGACGCATCTCACCAATTTGTGCTGGAATCCTTCCTTTAAATGCATTATGTGACATGTTCAATATGTGTAGTGAAACTAGACTTCCAACTGATTCGAAAATGTCACCCTCCAATGCATTATTTGAGAAGTCAATTGCGGTTAAGGTAGTCAAGACTTCTTCAAAAGTCACATATTGACCTTTGTATGTGATTGCAACAGTATCATGGTAGTCTCCGTATATCTGATGCCTTAAGATATTTCCCGTCTCACTAAACTTTGCCATCATAGATGCGAACCTCCCGAACCACTGTGGATCCAAATTGCCAGAGAAATTGTTTGAAGCTATATCAAAGATTTGTATCTTTGAGAAGTATTCCCTAGATTTTCTATCTCTGGCAGGATAAGTAAGCGAGCCATAGAACAGGTTGGATCCCAGAACGATGATACGAAGATCAGAGAGCCTACCGAGCCAAAATGGGAAAGTACCAACCATCCGATTGTTTCCAATGTCAAGAATCCCCAAGCCAGCGCAGTTGGAAAGAGACCTAGGAAGTTTCCCTCGAATATTATTGCCATGTAAATCTATTGTCTGGAGATTACAGTGGTCACTAACATTATCAGACAATGTTCCCTTAAAATGATTCTCCCTCAAATTTAATACAACCAAGCTTCTACCTTCTATCAGGCAGGAGGGTATTAACCCACTGAAGTTGTTGTATGACAAGTCAAGGACTTTGAGGTTGCATCACAAACCGAATCCGGTATATGCCCACTTATGTTATTTCTTGACAACTTGAGATACACAGTTTGGGAAAGATAAGCAGTGAAATTTGGCATAATAGAAGAGAATCTATTGTTTGAATAATCCACTTCTTTAAATAGGTTTGGCATCGGGGCCTGGCCTTGAAGTCTATTGGAGCTGAGATCAAGAGAATCCAAACGACTGTATGGGAGTAGATATGAAGTGAGTTGCATATCTGTGAACATGTTGTTTGAAAGATTTAACTGTGTAAGGCTATCATCCCACGTCTCCCATATCCATTGGGGTATAGTCCCCTGTATTATATTGTTCGAAAGGTCCAGTGTATCGATATGGTTGATATGCATCAAGAATCTAGGCATTGTTGTCATGTTGCAAGACACTAGTATTAAATATGAGCTTAGATAGTAAGGGCACTGTTGATTTATTGCCTTCTCCATCCAAGACGGATAACCTGTTGTTTGATAGATCCAATGAAGCAAGCTTTCGTAACTTCCAAAGTAAATTCAGTTCTACCAAACCTGTTAAGTTGTTTGAGCTAAGATCAAGGTCTATCAAACTTGTGAGTTGAAAGAATGATCTAGGAATCTGTCCACTGATTTGATTTTGACTCAAATAAACAATTATCATGTGCGAATGTAGAGTACCAAACTCTTGTATTGGTCCAGAAAGCTAGTTTGATGAAATGTCCAATTGTAACATGGCTGGCAAAGTGAATAGATATGTTGGAATATCTCCTGGAAATAGAATTAACATCCTAGTTAAGTCGACAAAATGCATATTTTGCAGAAAATATGAACCCCAAGGGTGGAGACATGTTTTCTAAAGAACCTTGAACAAGGCAAAGCCAACCTGTTATCTATGAATGATATACCAAAGTTTATTCTAGTGCTAAGAATTAGTGAATAGAATTCTTTTTGTATGCCCCTCAGAGTGCAGCTTTTTGTATTACAAGAATACGCTCCGAATGAGCAAAAGATAGATTCTTGCATAGGTTTTTTAAATCAAGATAAGCATCAATTGAATATTTCCGTACCTGTCTAAAATTAGAACATCGGCACACACAATATTTTCTAGAACAGCTTGGAAAACATCTCTTAGAATTAGTAATCAATTTTCAGACAATTTCATTAATCTTTCCTTGACAGTTTTATTTTTTTAAAGCCTGACCTATATGTCTTTAGGGTTCGTATTATTCCCTGGAACGAAGTGTTAGTGGAAGCACTGTTGTTTTCTAGTAAAAATATTAAGACTCGTACTATTTCAATAAAAAACCATTGTATTTTGCAGACATCTGCAAGATATTTTGCTTCATAATTATGTGCAATGTAAGTCAAAATATATCAAATAATGCAATGTTAAACCATCTGTGCAATAAATCTCTCATGTTATAAGATTAAAGCATTTGTCAACATTGTTCAGAAATAAAATGATTAATTATGTTTGGGGTATACGGCAAGTGAAATAAACATGGTGTCCATCATATTATAGATAGTCATATTCTTCAAAAAGAAATCGTAGTCCTTATTCGTAATGGTATCTACACCCATGGAGCTGTTGTCCCCTTTTCATGCCAGTGAGGTAATGGAGCAGTTGACATTGATTTTCGATCGGCACCATTTTCCTTTTCTAGTTTTTAATAATTTTCATTTGGATCAAAATTAAGGTCGAAATAACTTTATATGCTTTAGTAATAGTAACTTGCACAAACGTAATCGTTTTTTTGTTCTATGTTCTGTATTCTTTTTGTTAGGAAGGGTGGTTGACGACTTGCTAGTGGATTATAAAATCATGGTATCTATTTCTTTTGTACTCAAAACTTTAACACAGTTTGTCATAAAAGTTTTAAACTATGTTCACATGTCTACAATGGGTTAGGAGCAAATGTTTTGTTTATTATTCATGCCAAAGAGAAGCATGTGTTTATGTTCATTATTTGTTTTTATTTTAGCTATGATGTGAATACTTGAGTTGTGAATTGAATCTTACCTCTAAGATCATTCTGCGAAAGATCCAGATAAATCAGTTGAGTCAAGTTCATAATTGTACTTGGTATTCTGCCAAAAAACCTGTCGGCTGTTAATACTAACTAGATGACCAGTTGCGCCGATGGCGCAAAGGGCGAGAGCAAGCCATGTATTAAAAAAGTCCAGATAAAAATATTCAGACACAGATTGGAACACCATTGACCAAGCTTAAGATTTTTGTCAGTTAGGCCGATTCTCGTGGGCATGACGAAACACAAAGATTCAGCAGGGATTCAGAAGTCTAAACAATGTGTGAAAGATGATTACAATAGAGTGCATGGTTGATCAGACAAAACTGGTACATATAGCTCGTGAAAAGCTCTGTAGCATGAGAACTTTACATTAGCATGTGGTGTGGCAGTGGAATCTAAACACAAAGATCTGGAAAAGGGAGAAGAAATTGACTAAAAAATAAATCACTAATCTTGCTTTTTATCAAGTGATATACATAGCTATTTGGCACCCTTAGCCACAATAGAGAACATCACCATCTTCGACATTTTTCTCACACCTGATCTAATTCGAAAGATATTTTTAAATGCCCATATTGTATTTGTTAGTAACTTTAGGTTTGAGCATGCAAATATGGTACCCGATGTAATCCTTATATGGAAAAATAAAAAAGATTTATCTTTCAAAATATATACTCCAGCATGCATAATTTGTTATGTTATTCAGGTAACATGGGTGAATAATTGGATCTAAACCAAAAGATATTTTCATATAATGGCCTTTATTTTATAGTTAAAATTTTATATACAAAAGCAGTGTAGCTAGCATCATGAACAATAGTTTTTCAAAAATACATTTTGCAAAAAAAAACCCAAACAGGGACCATAAGCTATGGTCTGGTACTAAAGGGATTATCGAGATTCACCATGTAGCTAAGATAATTAATTCGACACTGAATTATGAAGGGAAGAAATGTGCCTAGCCTTACAGAATATCATAGATAGAGGATACAGAAAGTTATAAGCCGTCAACCAACCACACTAGCACATAAACCATGAGAAATTTTGAAAGAAGACCAAGTTAGACATATGGACACAAAAGCACATGAGAACTTTACATTAGCATGTGGTGTGGCAGTGGAATCTAAACACAAAGATCTGGAAAAGGGAGAAGAAATGGACTAAAAAAGAAATCACTAATCTTGCTTTTTATCAAGTGATATACATAGCTATTTGGCACCCTTAGCCACAATAGAGAACATCACCATCTTCGACATTTTTCTCACACATGATCTAATTCGAAAGATATATTTAAATGCCTATATTGTGTTTGTTAGTAACTCTAGGTTTGAGCAAGCAAATATGGTACACGATGTAATCGTTTTTATATGCAAAAATAAAAAAGATTTATCTTTCAAAATATATACTCCAGCATCCATAATTTCTTATGTTAATCAGGTAACATGGGTGAATAATTGGACCTAAACCAAAAGATATTTTCATATAATGGCCTTTATTTTATGGTTAGAATTTTATATACAAAAGCAGTGTAGCTAGCATCATGAACAATAGTTTTTCAAAAATACATTTTGCAAAAAAAAACCCAAACAGGGACCATAAGCTATGGTCTGGTACTAAAGGGATTATCGAGATTCACCATGTAGCTAAGATAATTAATTCGACACTGAATTATGAAGGGAAGAAATGTGCCTAGCCTTACAGAATACTCATAGATAGAGGATATAGAAAGTTATAAGCCGTCAGCCAACCACACTACCACATAAACCATGAGAAATTTTGAAAGAAGACCAAGTTAGACATATGGACACAAAAGCACATGAGAACTTTACATTAGCATGTGGTGTGGCAGTGGAATATAAACACAAAGATCTGGAAAAGGGAGAAGAAATTGACTAAAAAAGAAATCACTAATCTTGCTTTTTATCAAGTGATATACATAGCTATTTGGCACCCATAGCCACAATAGAGAACATCACCATCTTCGACATTTTTCTCACACCTGATCTAATTCGAAAGATATTTTTAAATGCCCATATTGTATTTGTTAGTAACTTTAGGTTCGAGCAAGCAAATATGGTACACGATGTAATCCTTTTTATATGGAAAAATAAAAAAGATTTATCTTTCAAAATATATACTCCAACATGCATAATTTGTTATGTGATTCAGGTAACATGGGTGAATAATTGGATCTAAACCAAAAGATATTTTCATATAATGGCCTTTATTTTATAGTTAGAATTTTATATACAAAAGCAGTGTAGCTAGCATAATGAACAACAGTTTTTCAAAAATACATTTTGCAAAAAAAAACCAAACAGGGACCATAAGCTATGGTCTGGTCCTAAAGGGATTACCGAGATTCACCATGTAGCTAAGATAATTAATTCGACACTGAATTATGAAGGGAAGAAATGTGCCTAGCCTTACAGAATATCATAGATAGAGGATACAGAAAGTTATAAGCCGTCAACCAACCACACTACCACATAAACCATGAGAAATTTTGAAAGAAGACCAAGTTAGACATATGGACACAAAAGCACATGAGAACTTTACATTAGCATGTGGTGTGGCAGTGGAATCTAAACACAAAGATCTGGAAAAGGGAGAAGAAATTGACTAAAAAAGAAATCACTAATCTTGCTTTTTATCAAGTGATATACATAGCTATTTGGCACCCATAGCCACAATAGAGAACATCACCATCTTCGACATTTTTCTCACACCTGATATAATTCGAAAGATATTTTTAAATGCCCATATTGTATTTGTTAGTAACTTTAGGTTCGAGCAAGCAAATATGGTACATGATGTAATCCTTTTTATATGGAAAAATAAAAAAGATTTATCTTTCAAAATATATACTCCAACATGCATAATTTGTTATGTTATTCAGGTAACATGGGTGAATAATTGGATCTAAACCAAAAGATATTTTCATATAATGGCCTTTATTTTATAGTTAGAATTTTATATACTAAAGCGGTGTAGCTAGCATCATGAACAATAGTTTTTCAAAAATACATTTTGCAAAAAAAAAACCCAAACAGGGACCATAAACTATGGTCTGGTCCTAAAGGGATTATCGAGATTCACCATGTAGCTAAGATAATTAATTCGACACTGAATTATGAAGGGAAGAAATGTGCCTAGCCTTACAGAATATCATAGATAGAGGATACAGAAAGTTATAAGCCGTCAACCAACCACACTACCACATAAACCATGAGAAATTTTGAAAGAAGACCAAGTTAGACATATGGACACAAAAGCACATGAGAACTTTACTTAGCATGTGGTGTGGCAGTGGAATCTAAACACAAAGATCTCGAAAATGGAGAAGAAATGGACTAAAAAAGAAATCACTAATCTTGCTTTTTATCAAGTAATATACATAGCTATTTGGCACCCTTAGCCACAATAGAGAACATCACCATCTTCGACATTTTTCTCACACCTGATCTAATTCGAAAGATATTTTTAAATGCCCATATTGTGTTTGTTAGTAACTTTAGGTTTGAGCAAGCAAATATGGTACAGGATGTAATCCTTTTTATATGGAAAAATAAAAAAGATTTATCTTTCAAAATATATACTCCAGCATGCATAATTTGTTATGTTATTCAGGTAACATGGGTGAATAATTGGATCTAAACCAAAAGATATTTTCATATAATGGCCTTTATTTTATAGTTAGAATTTTATATACAAAAGCGGTGTAGCTAGCATCATGAACAATAGCTTTTCAAAAATACATTTTTCAAAAAAAAAACCCAAACAGGGACCATAAACTATGGTCTGGTCCTAAAGGGATTATCGAGATTCACCATGTAGCTAAGATAATTAATTCGACACTGAATTATGAAGGGAAGAAATGTGCCTAGCCTTACAGAATATCATAGATAGAGGATACAGAAAGTTATAAGCCGTCAACCAACCACACTACCACATAAACCATGAGAAATTTTGAAAGAAGACCAAGTTAGACATATGGACACAAAAGCACATGAGAACTTTACTTAGCATGTGGTGTGGCAGTGGAATCTAAACACAAAGATCTCGAAAATGGAGAAGAAATGGACTAAAAAAGAAATCACTAATCTTGCTTTTTATCAAGTAATATACATAGCTATTTGGCACCCTTAGCCACAATAGAGAACATCACCATCTTCGACATTTTTCTCACACCTGATCTAATTCGAAAGATATTTTTAAATGCCCATATTGTGTTTGTTAGTAACTTTAGGTTTGAGCAAGCAAATATGGTACAGGATGTAATCCTTTTTATATGGAAAAATAAAAAAGATTTATCTTTCAAAATATATACTCCAGCATGCATAATTTGTTATGTTATTCAGGTAACATGGGTGAATAATTGGATCTAAACCAAAAGATATTTTCATATAATGGCCTTTATTTTATAGTTAGAATTTTATATACAAAAGCGGTGTAGCTAGCATCATGAACAATAGCTTTTCAAAAATACATTTTTCAAAAAAAAAACCCAAACAGGGACCATAAGCTATGGTCTGGTCCTAAAGGGATTATCGAGATCCACCATGTAGCTAAGTTAATTAATTCGACACTGAATTATGAAGGCAAGAAATGTGCCTAGCCTTACAGAATATCATAGATAGAGGATACAGAAAGTTATAAGCCGTCAACCAACCACACTACCACATAAACCATGAGAAATTTTGAAAGAAGACCAAGTTAGACATATGGACACAAAAGCACATGAGAACTTTACATTAGCATGTGGTGTGGCAGTGGAATCTAAACACAAAGATCTGGAAAAGGGAGAAGAAATGGACTAAAAAGAAATCACTAATCTTGATTTTTATCAAGTGATATACATAGCTATTTGGCACCCTTAGCCACAATAGAGAACATCACCATCTTCGACATTTTTCTCACACCTGATCTAATTTGAAAGATATTTTGAAGTACCCATATTGTATTTGTTAGTAACTTTAGGTTTGAGCAAGCAAATATGGTACACGATGTAATCCTTTTTATATGGAAAAATAAAAAAGATTTATCTTTCAAAATATATACTCCAGCATGCATAATTTGTTGTGTTATTCAGGTAATATGGGTGAATAATTGGATCTAAACCAAAAGATATTTTCATACAATGGCCTTTATTTTATAGTTAGAATTTTATATACTAAAGCGGTGTAGCTAGCATCATGAACAATAGTTTTTCAAAAATACATTTTGCAAAAAAAAAACCCAAACAGGGACCATAAGCTATGGTCTGGTCCTAAAGGGATTATCGAGATTCACCATGTAGCTAAGATAATTAATTCGACACTGAATTATGAAGGGAAGAAATGTGCCTAGCCTTACAGAATATCATAGATAGAGGATACAGAAAGTTATAAGCCGTCAACCAACCACACTACCACATAAACCATGAGAAATTTTGAAAGAAGACCAAGTTAGACATATGGACACAAAAGCACATGAGAACTTTACTTAGCATGTGGTGTGGCAGTGGAATCTAAACACAAAGATCTCGAAAATGGAGAAGAAATGGACTAAAAAAGAAATCACTAATCTTGCTTTTTATCAAGTGATATACATAGCTATTTGGCACCCTTAGCCACAATAGAGAACATCACCATCTTCGACATTTTTCTCACACCTGATCTAATTCGAAAGATATTTTTAAATGCCCATATTGTGTTTGTTAGTAACTTTAGGTTTGAGCAAGCAAATATGGTACAGGATGTAATCCTTTTTATATGGAAAAATAAAAAAGATTTATCTTTCAAAATATATACTCCAGCATGCATAATTTGTTATGTTATTCAGGTAACATGGGTGAATAATTGGATCTAAACCAAAAGATATTTTCATATAATGGCCTTTATTTTATAGTTAGAATTTTATATACAAAAGCGGTGTAGCTAGCATCATGAACAATAGCTTTTCAAAAATACATTTTTCAAAAAAAAAACCCAAACAGGGACCATAAGCTATGGTCTGGTCCTAAAGGGATTATCGAGATCCACCATGTAGCTAAGTTAATTAATTCGACACTGAATTATGAAGGCAAGAAATGTGCCTAGCCTTACAGAATATCATAGATAGAGGATACAGAAAGTTATAAGTCGTCAACCAACCACACTACCACATAAACCATGAGAAATTTTGAAAGAAGACCAAGTTAGACATATGGACACAAAAGCACATGAGAACTTTACATTAGCATGTGGTGTGGCAGTGGAATCTAAACACAAAGATCTGGAAAAGGGAGAAGAAATGGACTAAAAAGAAATCACTAATCTTGATTTTTATCAAGTGATATACATAGCTATTTGGCACCCTTAGCCACAATAGAGAACATCACCATCTTCGACATTTTTCTCACACCTGATCTAATTTGAAAGATATTTTTAAGTAACCATATTGTATTTGTTAGTAACTTTAGGTTTGAGCAAGCAAATATGGTACACGATGTAATCCTTTTTATATGGAAAAATAAAAAAGATTTATCTTTCAAAATATATACTCCAGCATGCATAATTTGTTGTGTTATTCAGGTAATATGGGTGAATAATTGGATCTAAACCAAAAGATATTTTCATATAATGGCCTTTATTTTATAGTTAGAATTTTATATGCAAAAGCAGTGTAGCTAGCATCATGAACAATAGTTTTTCAAAAATACATTTTGTAAAAAAAGTAAACCCAAACAGGGACCATAAGCTATGGTCTGGTCCTAAAGGGATTATCGAGATTCACCATGTAGCTAAGATAATTAATTCGACACTGAATTATGAAGGGAAGAAATGTGCCTAGCCTTACAGAATATCATAGATAGAGGATACAGAAAGTTATAAGCCGTCAGCCAACCACACTACCACATAAACCATGAGAAATTTTGAAAGAAGACCAAGTTAGGCATATGGACACAAAAGCATCAGAGGGAAATGAGTAAAAACTCACCGGAGAGCAGTCAACGGAACAATTAGTATAGATCCTGCTTATGTGGAGCGCCACTGAAAAATTAGGACCAGTCCTTCGGCATATAGTTATTGCACATGCATGCGAACCAACCAATTACCACGAGAACAATTTTGTTTCCAGAAGGGAAACAATGAAGAAGCTTATGTGCATAAGCCTACTTAATTTGGTACCTGCACAAAACAAGGAGACACATTTTCTTCAGGCGTAATTTCACAAATTAGATGTCAGCTACTAAATGAAGTAAGCATTTATGTGCTCTAACTATCACAACAGCCAGAAAATAATAACTAACTATATTTATCAATATGTACAATGGTACAGATTAGCTAGGGAGACCTGCTGAACAAGGGAAAGAGGATGTGCACCTGAAACCTGCTGAAGTTTGCTTGGTCTCCATCTCATAGGCCAGCCCAGAAACAGAATTAACAAACCTATGTGCCTCCCCCCATATCAAGCTGTCCACCTAAACTTGACAAGGACGTACAAAGGCAAAATTTACATCAGCCATAATAAATCACAGGTTCTAGGCAAAGAAATAGACTTCCTACATAAGAAAAAGTGTTCTCAAATTCAGGTTGGCAATGCAAAGAACCTTTTAAATCATCAGAAAATAAGTACCAAAATATTGCTCCCTTTAAGATACTGCAAGCAAAGCACTATAGTTTTGAATATGACAACACAGGAAAACTTCAGTCAAAGGTAATAATGTCCAGAACCACACACTTTTGCATTACCTTTTCATACACCATTTTCATCATTTCCCTTCAAGAACTCCCAATGCCTTCAAGGATAAAAGGAGTCATCATGTAAACACGTGGTAGATACTACATTAAACCCAGCAAAAAAAAATCAAAGAAATTTATTAAGTGAATCGCCATGCACAAGCTCTGAATATAGGATATGCAAACCCACAAGCTGGCTCGAGCAGGAATATAAAAACATGAGAGGGTGAGGCATGTCGAAAGCATGCTCATCAAGAATCATATTGGCATGGTGCAGATTTGGTTTTCTAAAAAAAGCCATGACCGCAGTAGAGTCCTGTAGATTACCAAGAAGCGAACAATGCTCTCTGTAGCCTCCCCCTTTGAAGCATCATCCACATGCCTCTATACTACAGAATACAACAAGAAAGAGGATGGAAGAAGAGCTAACCTCAACCACACAACGGAGCAGAAAGCAACCCGATGCCGTAGACAAAACGAAACCACCGGCCAAGATTAGCAATGAACTGAAGCCTGTGTCGGCGTTGCTGCTCCCAATGCAGAGCTGAAGCTTGTCGCCGCCCGCGCCGCCGCCCTTCAGGGTGGGACGAACACGATGTACGGACGACCCGACGTCCTCTTGACCTCAAGGCCTCAGCCTTGGACGAACACGATGTATGGACGACCCGACGTCCTCCTGACCGCAAGGCCTCGGCCTTGGACTCCACCAACGCCATGAACCACACCGCACGCCGCTGGCTGCACGAACGTCCTCCTGACCGCAAGGCCTCGGCCTTGGACGAACACGATGTACGGACGGGCCGACGTCATCCTGACCGCAAGGCCTCAGCCTTGGACTCCACCAACGCCATGAACCACACCGCACGCCGCTGGCTGCACGAACCAAAATCGAATCAAATCAATGCCTTCGAGGTCGGGGGAGCGGACTAACCTCGCGAGATCTGCCAGGTCAGGGCGCCATCTAGAAGGGGGCTGCTGCTCCGGTGCTTCGGTGCGGGGGCAGGGAAGGAGGAGGTGAAGACGAGGCGAGCGAGACGAAGGGGGGAAGCGGAGGCAGCAGGATGGGAGAGCAGACGACGAGGGAGATAGATATTTCTGGTTCCATCGCACGCACTCGCCCAATCCCCTACACTATTCATGCCACGTGGACGCCCTGGTTGTGACTACCGACTCCTTCATCCTTTATAAGGTAGATACCATCAATTTGTTGAGATGTCCAAAATCTGTTGTTATTGGACATGATAATTCAGTATAAGAAATTTCCAATCTTCTTAGTTTCTTGAGATTGCCAATTGAAGATGGTATTGTCCCAGAGAAGGCACAATCAGAGATTCTCAATGAAGTCAACTTGTTGAGGTTGCCAATTGATGATGGTATTTGTCCAACAAAGCCACAGTAAGTAATCTCCAAACTTGTCAAGTTGGTGAGGTTTCCAATCATCGGGGGCGTTAGCTTGGAGGAATAGCAATCAGAGAGGTGCAAGCTTGTCAAGTTCTTAAGGCTTCTAATCCATGAGAAAAATGGTGCTAACTCTCCTGAAAATTGAGCAAAAGTAAAATTTGCAAGGAGTTGATCTTGTTGAACAACAAATCAGTTGGCTCCAAAGAAATTGATCTTCCAGAAAAACCTAGCTCCCTCAGAGACAGGAGATTGTTAAAAGAGCTCAGCCTGACACCAGAGAAATTAGTGTACTGTAGAATCAAAGTCTCCAAAGAAGCCCCACTTGGAAATTCTGGTATACGCCCTGACAGTCGTTCGTTGTGTGACACATCAAGGACTCTTATATTCTTGAGTTGAAAGATTTTCCAAGGAAACCAGCCACTGAAATTGTTATAACTGAGTTGAAGAACACTTAAATTGAGAAAGTCCGTGAAGAATTCAGGAACCGCACCAGAAATTCCACCATTAAGCTTGAGGTTGACCACAGTAAGGGATCTAAGACTTGACAGAGAAGAGTGGATTGGACCATTGAGTTTGCAGTACGCCATGCTAAAAACGTGAAGACGGGGGACAGCTTTAGCTAGATCACTGCTCCACTCCTCTCCGCTACTAGATATGTCCACTCCATCAAGGTACAACTCCCTCAGATTGTTGAGGTTTGCCAGTAAGGTCTTAAAGCTGGGCTCTCGTAACACCAGAAAGTTATAGCCATCCATGATAGCATAAAGATTTGTGATTTCAGCCGATTCAATATTATGCAGTGAAGAAAGGTCCAATGATACGAGGCTTTTGAGTTTGCCGATGGCGATAGGAATCTGACCGTAGAAGCCTGAATAAGAAAGGTTGAGGTGAGTGAGCTTGGATAGCCTCTCGAAGCCATCTTCCGGAATGCGAGATCCACCAAAATCGTTCATGCTGAGGTCGAGATAACGTAGGGAGGTGAGGTTGAAGAGCGCGGCATGGCAGCTATAGCTGTAGAGGCCACGGCGGCCGAGGTCAAGAACTGTGACACTGTTGCTGCTGCTGCCAGAAACACCGTCACAGCCCACGCCCTCCCAGAGACAACAGTCAGTACCAGGTTGCCATGACGGGAGGGTGGTAGTGGAGTAGTCTAAGATGAATGACTGCTTTAGTTGGAGAAGTGCTGCAGCTTGGTCCGGATGGCAGAAGGAAGAAGCTGTGTCGTTATCATGGCCATGAGCATGGGCATCAGAAGTAGATGCAGCTACCGAGTAGAGTTGTGTGAGTGCGAAGAGGGCAAGTAGGTGAGTGGTGCCAGCCATTGGTGAACGGCAGCAAAGAGAATTATCTCCGTCTGTTCCACGAGCAAGGAGCCGATGTATATTTATTTCAGAACTAAGGAGCCAAGCCAGCTGCGGCGTGCAGTGGTGGAAGAATTAGAATTCTCGCCACGATACCGATGACTTTGAAAATTCAAAGTCCAAGTCTCCTGTCAGTGATGAAGCTGCAGCATGCGTTTCAGATGGCAGAAAGAAACAGTTGTTGGTTTGCAGTTGATGTGGTGCATGGTGGAACAACCCTCCTGTAAAATTATTAATCATGATGCTGATGATTTCGAAACCAAGCCACTGCGATAAAGTTTTCAATCTCGCGCTTCAGAAATCAAGTCAGAATTAATCTGACAGGCTAAGAGGGCGTACAGGTTAGCAGATGTTTTTTTATTTGAGCTCGGTCCTGTTAGATGTGTATAGCCCTTTTCGGTTTATCCCCATTGTATAAGGGGTCTCTTGCACTTTACCCTACACATGTATATGTATTGGCCTTCGGCCCTCTTGTGAATGCAGTTGCTGATTATCCAACATGGTATCAGATGCTAGGCTATCCCCCTCCTCCCGCACGCTGCAACTCCGTGCCCCTCGTTCCTAGCCTGCTCGTCTCCGGCCATCCGGCCGTCCGGTCTGCTGCTCCTCCAGCCGGACGCCGTCTCGTCCGTCTCCTCCGACTACCTCATCCGCCTCGGTCTCGTAAGGCCGCCGCCCCATACGGCCGTCGCTCAGCTCCGTCGCTGCTCTGTCTGGTGGCGCCATCTCGCCCGGTCGCCCGCCGCCCCGCCCGGCAGCTGCGGCCGCTGCCTCCTCCGCCGCCCCGCCCGGCAGCTGCGGCCGCTGCCTCCTCCGTCGCCGGCCTCACCAGCCACCTCGTCCAGCATCCGCGGCGGCTCCCTCGCTCACCTGCGGCCGTCGCCCCGCTCAGCTCCGCCTTTGGCTAGCGCTGCCAAGGCTGGCTCGGGGCTTCTGGATCGGCCGCCCACTTCTCTCGATCCGTTTCTGGATCGGTCGCTCGGCCCCTCCCTCGATCCTCCCTGGCGCATGAGCGCGTGCTGCTCTGCTCGCCTCTCTCGATCCAGATCGAGGCTGTAGGTTCGTTGACTTCCAAAAAAAACCTAGAGAGCTCCTCATGTCTTCTTCGGGCTATGTCGCCGTTCCTCGGTGTTCGGTGATATTCGATGGCACCAACTATGCCGAGTTCGCGGGATTTATGCGTATCCACATGCTCGGTCTTCTTCTGTGGGGTGTTCTCTCTGGCGAGGTCCCCTGCCCGCCTTGCCCGGTTGCTCCTGTGGCTCGTATCCCGCCCGCACCGCCGGTTCTTGCTGCTGATGCTTCTCAGGCCGATCGAGATGCCGCCAAGGCTCTCGATGATGCTGCAGTTGATGCTTATGATCAGCAGATGTCAGCTTATTCGGATGCCCTGTCTGCCTACCATGATGATCTGTCTGCTTACACTCAGTGGTGCCACTAGTAGAAAAAGGGTCAAACATGAAGCACAATAGTGCCGGTTTGAATTTCAGCCGGCACTAATGTGTACAATAGCATCGGTTCGTGGCGGCGATCAATAGCACTGGTTCGTGGCGAACCTTTAGTACCGGTTCATGCCACGAACCGGTACTAAAGAAGATGTGTCAGCCTGCGGTCAGGCTATGGCCCCACCATCACCATTTAGTGCCGGTTCGTACCACGAACCGGTACTAATGAGGTTATGGCAAGCTGTTTTTAGTCCCACCTCGCTCCCCTAACAAGCCTTTTACCACCTTAAAGATGTTATTTCTCAAACTATCACAAGCAATTGGTCTTCATTGAACTCTATGTGTAGAATTTGTGGCCGCAATATGAGTCTTCATCGGTTTATAAATCGTTGATGACTCATATTGACAATTCAGATTGTACACACAAAGATCATTGATGATCAAAGTATTTTTGATGTTATAAGATCATATTGACAGTTTAGACTGTAAAGAAATATAAAATCATGATGTGAATGCTCTTATATTTTTTGCGTTCAGTATGCACCATTCAAAGCGACGCCATCAACTTTCAACCATTTCTGCCTTCATTTGCTATTTTTCATGCATTCAATGATTTGTTTTGAGAACTAAATGACCTGGAAATTGAAAAGCACTACAAATGAACTCTGAAAAAGTTGAAATTTGGCATGGTATCATCATTTCACCCACATAGATTGTTCAAAAAAGTAGAGAGGGTTACGGAAAAAACTGGATGCACTTCGTTTACAAACTGGACAATCTCTTTCGAAGTATTCAGGTTTCTGACGAAATTAAACTCATCTGTTACAAAGGCATTTCATTTTTTTAAACTTATTACAACTCCAGACTTTTTGTGCATTCAGTATGCATCATTCAAAGCGACGCCATCAACTTTCAACCATTTCTGCCTTCATTTGATATTTTTCATGCATTTAATGATTTGTTTTGAGAACTAAATGACCTGGAAATTGAAAAGCGCTACAAATGAACTCTGAAAAAGTTGAAACTTGGCATGGTATCATCATTTCACCCACATAGATTGTTCAAAAAAGTAGAGAGGGTTACGGCAAAAACTGGATGCACTTCGTTTACAAACTGGACAATCTCTTTCGAAGTATTCAGTTTTCTGACGAAATTAAACTCATCTGTTACAAAGACATTTCATTTTTTTAAACTTATTACAACTCCAGACTTTTTGTGCATTCAGTATGCATCATTCAAAGTGACGCCATCAACTTTCAACCATTTCTGCCTTCATTTGATATTTTTCATGCATTTAATGATTTGTTTTGAGCTAAATGACACTAATTAAATTTTGTGCAGGCAGCGCACCACCTTTAGTACCGGTTGGTGGCTCCAACCGGTACTACAGGGTAAGCTGTTTTTTAGTCCCACCTCGCCAAGAGAGAGGGACTAGGAGCGGTTTATAAGCCCTGAGTGCAGAGACGATGAAGAATAGGCTCAATGCTCACGTTGCTTAGCTTCAAGCCTTTAGGAATATGGTAGATTGCACGGAGCTACGCGCAGTGCAGTTTACACTATTCTGAAAGGCTTGAAGCAAATTAACGAGCATTGCACCTCTTTTTTATTTTTAATAACTTATTACAACTCCGGACTTCTTCTGTTATGGCAAAAGGAAGGAGGAGGAGGAGAAGAAGAAGAAGAAGAAGAAGAAGAAGAAGAAGAAGAAGAAGAA